AAAATGTGCTCTGATCAATCATGAGTCAAAGATCACTGAAAATCGCACAAATTGCAAGCACCTTGAATTTTCAACTTCAATTGAGCTTAAATCTCGTTGTTTGCCATTGCAATCCCTCCATAGACAAATGAACTACACTGTATCTTGGCTTGTTCTCAAAGCTGCGCATATCATTTCAGCGAAAGTAGCCCTAAACAAAGCCTATTGGGGAGCCACTGCGGCCTTTTAGGGCATAAGCACGATCACCTGCTTTCTGGTCTAATAACATTAATAAAACACTCAATACCCATAAAGAGAATCTCTTGACACATTTACCCTGTGTTGGTGTGACCACGGTGCAAGCTCACGTCCTAGTCACAACCTGACCTACGTGCTCTGATCGTCGGTCCCCCCCACCCTCCCCACACCACTTCTGCAAAATTGGATCCGTGAGCAGAAGGTCATTTGCAAACGGGGCGAAGGCACAATTGCAACTAAACGAAAAATGTGCTACGGCCCCTTTCACAGCGACTGCAGCGAAATCTCCCTGGTCATAGAATTTTCTAAGATTTGATTTGATTAAGATTAAGATTAAGATTTTGCCTTTCTCAGTAATGTATCTAGGGCTGAATAATAAGTAATAATTCCCTCACATTACAAAAGGGGGAGATGTTGTTGAGTTTCTTTCCGTAAAAAAAATCAATGGCGGCAGACTGGGAGAGAAGTAACGGTACCACAAACAAGTACGTAAAAGATATGTAAAAGACCTTTACGGTCTTTATCCCAAAATGCCTTTCGAATAGGCCAAGCGGAAGAGAAAAGATTGTCAAGAAATAGAAGAGAAAAACTGACGGATGAGCACAGTTAGTACGCCTTGAGCGAATCATGTAGCGGACCTCTATGTGTGGCTCTCGGTAAACCTCAGCATTGTCATTGATAGCACTTAATAATTTAAACCCCAGAAACACCCTAATGACGGATTCGCTGAACGTTTGTCATTAAGGTATTTCCCGACCTTGTAAAGAATTGAATCCATTGGGTGGTATCATGAAATGAACCAGTTTCGTGATCGTTCCCCGCCTCGGTGTTTCAATAAGAATATTCGAGAAAATATTTCACCTTTTGCTCTTGTTTTCTCATAGGAACCTTATCCGTCAGCTCTCAAACTTCTTCAGTCTATCACAGAGCAGTGTATTCAAGGAAAGTTGAAGAAGAGGTGATCTGTAGGCGACAGAAGTAACACATTAGGATACCATGAGCTTAAAAAATATTAACCCTAAAATTGTTAGCGATGGCCAAATATGACCAAAAAAGAGGTTCCCTCGTATAGGGCTGTCGCAATGTTTCAAATTCTACTGAAATTTCGATATTCATCAAGTGTACATTACATAAGGAAGGTTGGGATTGAAAGGAAGTGATAGGAAACGTTATACGATAAGTCGAACTAGCTTGACTAACATTAATGAGAGCGACTGAGGCATTTGTGTGATGATTCTGTTACGAAAAATGCTATTCTCACAATTTTTTCAGCTCACACTAGAATTTGCTTGTGCATCAGAAGCATCCGACCAGAAAGAGGTCTCGTATATTGTGGTTGGCAGCGACCACGGAATATTAGGTATTCTCCATGAATGAGTGGGCTTCAAACGTGTTTATGCGTCCACACACACTCACACCTGCTCTGCCGCTCAAGCACTACTGCAATCAGACAAAAAGAATAGTTGTTTTCCGAGGGCCATAGGGATGATCATGAAGCTTCGCCTTGGAAAATCTTGAGAGAACTCAATATAAAGACGAAGTTGTGTCAGGAGGAACACTCAGAAACAAACTAAATTGTCAATTGTCGTGTGGGCGGGTCTTGCCTGTTCCCTCAGATTGGAATTACCCCGCCCTCCTAACTGAGGGGCAACACGATTACATAATTCATCAAGCGCGCCGTCGATTTTGAACACAAATTTCCGGTGGTGGAGATGAATTCAGACGTGCAGTGCCGATTCGTTACGCCGACCCTGATAAATGAGAGAAGAAAAGGGAACGGAACCGGAACCGAATTGCTAGAAAGGTCTTCTGATGTGGTAGTAGGAGGAGTCTTGGCATACGAAATATAACGATTGTAACCTTGGATGGTGAGGATCAATTGGTCTGAGGTAGGACCCGTACGAGCTTCAATCCGAGGAAATTCTGCGTGTAGCCCTTATTCACTGCAGCTCTTGAAAATTCCTAGCAGTTGAGTACAGAGCTTAAGAATGTCCAGAAGCGCTGAAAATGTGGCAAACATTGCGCAAGCATACAACAACCTTTTGGGTCGCTAGAACCCAGCTTTATATGTGTTCGCGGATTGAACTCCCGTTTCTCTGGCAGTGATTGGTTGGTAGTCCCTGCCGGAGAAACAGAGGGAGAGATCCAAGAAATCGATCAACTATGAAAAAGTATTATGAAGGTCCCCTACAAGCAATTTATAATCCGCTTTTAGAAGTCGTCTGATGTTAATTTACTTGAAAACGTTATGTTAGAAAAGTCGTAAAATTACCAGCGCTCAGGCTTCCGCTCTCCCTCAGCTAACTCTTGTAGAACAGTTTTTTTTTCGGAAAAGAAAAACAAGTCACAAAGCTAACGACAAGAAGTTTTAGAGGTACTTCTTTATAGTTATTAAGTAACACCAGTTTCTTTCTCGAATGAAAAGCCGTAAGTGCTCTCTTAAAAACGATGTCATAGAAATCTAAAAGTGTCTAAAGTCTTTGAAGAAGGCAGCACAGCTTCGATAGCAAAAGAATTAATGAATGGAAAAGATGCGCGACTAATCAAAGTAGTAGCCACTTTTTAATCTATCTCAGAAAAAAAAACGCTTTGTTCCCCCCTTAACCCATTGGCCTTCCCCTTCCACAAAGCAATCAAAGCTTCATTTCTATCGAGGTTGCTCATTCTCTCTCGTCATCGTTTCACCTCGGTGAACATATGGTGGACCCCCTCAATCAGCTGTGCCGCTCGTAGCAACTCCTCAGAGGAGCTCATCCGGAATTCTAAAAATCAATCATTAGTAGAACTCTTCCTTAGTGAAGACTCCAACATCTTCCCTTGCTGCTAATTCCATTCTTTTTCGTTCAAATAGAAGATACATATTTGTTCAGAATCCTTTGGAAGATGCCCCTGCCCCTCAAGGAACACCTGTTTGTGATAAAACTGGGGGGGGGATAGACTTAAGCGGGATAGTCGCTTTTTCATACTCTCAAAAGGAAGTAGCTCTACATGGCGAGTAAAAAAGGCTGAGAAGTGGTGTGCTGCTTGACCATTTCCAACCCACTACCGACCACCCTTAGAGTCGGAACACATTCTGTGTACAGTTATTGCATCGCAAAGCTGGGCCTTAATCAAGGACTCGCATCAAAAACGTTCATAAATAGATTTATAGGACGGTCTAGAGCAAAGCGAAGGTTCAAAAAGACAAATGTCTCACACCATCGTAAGTTCCTAATGAATTGCGACAGCAAACACTGGGGCTTGACTATTAGAGAAACTCTCTTTCTAGTCAGATCGTTTGTGTCCTTGCGAACCGAAAAAAAAATACCCAGTAAACTCACATGGTTTTCGAATTATGGACAAAACTTCTGTCTTGGACGAAACCAGAACCCGTACTCCTGCTATTCGGGCACCGCGCTCTTAACCCTTACACCACCGGGACCGCGCTTTTTGACACTTGGATAAATTTAGTTACTTCTTCTGACTGTTGGATGACAAAGCACAAAAGCAATATTATTCGAGCTTGAAGCCACATTTGCAGAACTTATACGACATTAACGACTTTAAGACGTCTGAACTATCGCGTACCAGGCAGACTTCCGCTTCTAGCAATACCGATGGAGCGTCTACGTTCCCACAGGCGATCGTTCTCGATTAAGATCAACGTCTGAGGAATGAAATGATAAAAGCCCCAATGTTGACAGCTATTCTTCTACGATGGGTCCAAGCATTCGACATCCTTGTTAAAGCCTATTAGTAGCGCTTGAACCTGGTGTTCGGCCTGATATAGTCAATGATTTACGAATACCGTCCGATACACAAGTTGGCGCTCTTACTATTTCAGACGAATTGGTACAAATGAGTAACAGTGGGAAGTAGGTTTGTTTGATCGGTGCGGGTAATGACTAGGAATTTCAAAACCGAAAAATGAGTTTGGTGGTTACTTTTCCAGGTTAGCCTACGACTACTGCACGATGTGGGTGACCTTTATCGATTTAGCAAAAGGAAAACATAGACATGGTTACACGAAATGAAGGCCACGAATTGGAACGCTATCCTTTCCTCACTACCCTGTCGTGTCGATAAAAAGCAATGACAACGAAGTGAAGTAAAAGACTTAGAACAGTTGATAACCACTGGGCAGAATCGTCCAACGGAAAGATCGAAATCCTACAAACCCCTTCGATAGCGAATGAGGCACTCCAATACATTTGAACCTAGCAAAGCTTGCTTTCAGGCGAAGGTACTTAGCTCTCAGCTTCCATCATAGACAAAAACCCTACGCCTTTATTCTTATTCTTAGCAATAAATATCATAACGTGAGAAAGACTGACTGTTTTCCACAAAACAGGGCCCACCACAGTGCAAGTCCCCGAAACTGACATAAATCTTGAGAATCGTTCCAACCGTAGGAATCACAGTCGACTCTATACACCTTCATCATACAAGAACACGAAAGCTCAATGATCCTTTTGTGTCAGCCTTTTGATCGAGCAATGGGATAGTTGAGCTGAGAGCTCCTCATTACTCGATTTACAAATAAATAAAACTTCAGCAATGTATTGCTTAACGTCACAGGCGAGAGCATCTTTATTCCGCACGTTTCGATGCTATGAGGTTGCGCATCTGACCCAGCATAGCCAGCTCTTTCTTTTTTCGTTCTTCTTGAGAAAATCCTGATAACAAACGCTTCTCTTCGGCGGTCAAGACCTAAGAAAAATATGATATCCAAGATGGTAACTTATGAATAGAATGGAAGGGCTACAATGCCGCCGCAGACTGATTACCTGATTCTCTTTACGTAATCGAGTTGCCTCCATTGCCTTGTGCCGAGTACCGCTCATCACGTATCCAACTTTTTCGAATTCACTAATCTCCGCCGATGAGAGCCCAATTTCGCCTAGAAAATGAACCACATCAAAGAAATCGTCGAAGCATGCAAATACATCGATCGCCATTCGAGAACTTCATAGACATCTTAAGTATGAAGTGAAACAATTCCGAGAAAGAGAACGAGTGTGACAAGAAATGGAACGAAACCACAAAGTAATACAAGAAGCTTCACATACCTCTTCTTGGAATACGTTCCCCTCTCGCTGCATATGCAGCCATCGCTGCTGCTTCTCCCTTCAGCATATCCTTACCATAGCTGCAATAGGAATAGTCATCAAAATAAGATTCTCAGGAGATTATTTTAATAAGAAGTAGATGAAAGAAATAAAACCTTGAATACAAAAAAATCACTCCAATTGCTCAGAAACCATGAAACAAAACATCAAGTCAAAACAAATTATAATGACGACCATCTTTTTAAAATATTGCACTTTTGAAGTTGGTCAACGAACGAAGAATACACCACAGGTAATGTACTCCTTCGAAAAAAACATTTTTAAAACTGCAAAGTCAGAGGATCTTGGGCACTTCAAGCCGTTCCTGGTCAAGAAGAAGTTTGCCAATTTTGGAAACGTTAAAAATGCAGCGCTCGAAGTCTCAGATTAAAGTCCTCTTTCTAGGCCAAAACAGCCGACTGGCCCTCACTGGATAAATGCCAAAAATGAAATGGTATTTATATACATAGTTTATTGAGTAAAAATTTGTTAAAGAATACAAAACGTGTACCCGGCTGACTCAATCGATGCATTAATATATTTCCCTGAATAGTGTGTGAACTTGTATGAATAGGTATTCAGGTGCCTACGCAGACGTGCCTATGCCTGCGTTCGTCTGCCACGGTGACCTTCAAATCAACTGTTTCCAGTTCCCTCCCTTCATCCATATAACGTTTAAAGGCACAGTTGCTCACGATAAAAAAANAAAAAAATTGCGAGAGTTCACGCTAGCATGAACCTGAGACCCAAAGAATAGCAACAGGGTAGCTTGAGGATCGAAAAGTGGCCTGGATAAGACGTAATAAGGGCCTCAAAACGACATAGCCGAATCACGCACCTATAGGCGGACGTGTTCTCACGTCGTTGTAGGAGTTGTAGAGGTTGCACGATTCGCGAGAAACGCTATAAACGATCTCACACGCAGCGGCTTCCGTTGCGTGATTTGGGCATTTTGCGCATTTATTGTGGACTTTGTAGGGAAACTCCTCACGTCACGACAAATTTCTTGTAGTGTTCCAAACTCGTGGTAGGAAAAGATAGAGCGAAGTGAAAATTCAATTGGTATCGTGTGCGTGATCCTAATCGTGGAATAAATTTGAGCCTTTGAAAAGGAAAATTAGGTTGAAATGCTCGATTACCGAGTGAGCTATTCATTTTGAAAACTGAAAATACAAAACATGTAGTCATGAGGTTTTCCTTTCTTTATTGCCATGAGCGTTTTTTCATTTGGAAATTCGAAGGGCATAACAATTCTGACAAACTAACCGATGCAAAGGTTACAAGAGAGGAAAACTTCACAACTACATATTAATTCCTTCATCAGAAAAGTAACCCACTTGGCCTTAATAGAAGCTCCTATTTGACTTCTCGCTTGTAAGTGTTCGGGCAGTGCAGGTCCTGGCATTTCCTGCTCCTCTCGAGCTTCCCTTTCTGCTTGCTCCACTCTCATGTCGTGCGTGACTTCCACCCACTCATCGCTATCGTCATCATCATCGCTGTTCTTCTTGGCCTTCTACAAGTACAGGAGGGAACACTAAGACGACTCATACAATAAAAGAAAAGAAAGAAAAAGAGAAAAACCTTCTTCTTCGCCTTCTTCTCTTTCTTCTTTGCTTTCTTGGCCTTTTTCTCCTTCTTTGCTTTCTTGCCCTTCTTTTTCTCCTTTTTACTCTTGGATGGAGAATCCTCATCAATATCAGAATTAATGATCATGGAAGAATCTGAGGAAGGGGGCAGAGTGTTAGGAAACTTAAACTCAATCAGTGCAATCATGCTACCTTTCATTACATCTGCTCGCCTCTTCTTTTCCTCCAACTTTTTCTCTTGATTGCGAGACTTTTTCAGGTTCTCCATTTCTTGTTCGATCCTTTTTGTTTCCTCACTCTCCATGTAACTGGAATTTCAAAGAATAAAAGGACAAAAATCTTATGAAACATAATGTTGGGTCTCGCCGGATTAACACCGGGCTCTCCTCCTTCTCGTGTCAAAATTGACCCGCTGTCTGCATTCCCTCAAATTCGGAAGCCCTGGTCCAAGAGAACAAGAGCTACTAATTCCCAGTGAAACATACACACACAACACACCGACACCCTTCGTGCGCGCCCACCTCGCCATGAGCGAAGTCCTGTTCAAGTAAAGTGTGTATGGGTAAGATGGTTCATGCCCCACTTATACCAGTGCTTTAACTCAAAGTACGTTCATCCAACGCACACTACTCCCCCTCCATTCCCACCACAACACCCGCGGGGGGATCCTTTCAGACACTTTCTACCCAATTCTTAACGATTTTCATGACTGCCCCGATCCCCTGTGGGGCGGAGTNTATTCCCACCCTCGCTGTACCCTTACCAAATTTGAACGCTATGTGTGCACGGAAACAGGAATCATGGATTACTCCTAAAGTACTAATTGTTGGCTTGCCACAACGCCCCTGAGGGTGCGTCCGGTTCTGCCCACACCCCCCACCGTGTTCCCATCCTGCGCTTGTACCCCACCAAATTTGAACTCTCTGGTTTTTGAGAAACTGAAGTTATGAATTCCTCTTAAAGGTAATTTTTTGCGCAAATTCCGCCCGCAATGGATGGAGTTGAGTTCTACCACCTGCTGTCTGTATTCCGCAAATTTGAACGATCTAGGTCTACAGGAACAAGAGATATAATTTAAATTTTCGGTCGGACCCACACATATACACACAGACAAACCAACAGACACACTTAGTGCGTTATATGTGTGCTAGTGCCTTATATGTATATAGTAGAAAGGAATGTGGCTTGAAATGAAAAGGGTATTCTAATATAGATGAAAACACGATAAACAAGAAAATAGAAGACGAGCATTCGTACGCTTGATAAGCTTCTTCGATCTGACGCTGATCGGGAGATTGTCCCCAAACTTCCGGTGCGCCTCGCTCCAGTATATTCAAACGATGCTGACGACGTCTTCAAAGACCATTACAAATTCAGAATAGGAAAACCAGTTGCCAGACACCCAAAAATATACCTGTTGAAATAAGCAATTCTCGGATCCACACGTGGGCTTCTTGAGCGCGACCTCGAGATTGATCTTTGCCTTGTATTACGTCTCCTTGGAGATGTCGAACCAGAACGATTTCTAGAAACCCTTTATAAGCAGCTGAAATTTCCTAACATACGAAAAATTCACCTTTCTCTGAAGTGCTCTCGACGTGGGCTACACCTTCGATCCTGTTTACGAGGGGGTGAACGACTGATTCTTCCATTCCTGAAAACTTATAACTCGTAAGAAACGAAAAGCTTTCTTATAAATTCAACCAAAAACTGAAGCAGCGAAGTTGAGATAGGCAAATTCGGTGAGGTGGAGAATTTTGCATTGCTTCGTTATGCGACGATTTATAGCTTTCTGAATTTGCAGGCTGTCGCTTGACTGCGCTATTCACAGTTGCATTTCCTTTGAAACACATGGGCTCAGCGAGCCAAGGAAACTTTGGAAAAGATGACGGATAAGTGGAGTGTGCAATATCCTACTATTTAGAACGCGCTATGTGTACCTATTGCTTTGTCGATGATGAGTTGTGTCTGAGTGCGCCGGTATACGTCGTTGTGTATACGTGTGCGTGTGTGTTTGCGTCTGCGCGTGTGCATGTGTGGGAAGGTATTTGTATGTGTATGTGTATGTGTATGTGTATGTGTATGTGTGTATGTATGTATGTATGTATGTATGTATGTATGTATGTATGTATGTATATGTATGTATGTATGTATGTATGTATGTATGTATGTATGTATGTTTGTTTGTTTGTTTGTTTGTGTGTGTTTGAATTCCGTGAATTCGTGACTCCTGCCTCCGAGGACCTTGAGCGTTCAAAATTGGTGAGGTAGCAGAACTGAGCTCAACGCAGGGAACGGGCGCATGTGAGATGGGTGTTTGACTGAGTTCAGAAATCCTGTTTCTGTGGACCTTGCGCGTTCAAACTTGCTAGACGGAAGGCCGCAGGATGGGAGCATTTGACAGTGTATGGTTAGATCTGTTCCACCCACGGCTCTGTAGGCCGAGAGCATCGAATTTGGAAGGAATACAGGCGGCAGGATGAGAACACGGAGGGTGGTAGTAAGTGACTGAGCTAAACTCCCCTAAATGGATGGTCAGGCGGAGCGAAAGTGAAATGAGCTTTGCTTCAGAAAAAAAAAACGCAGTCAAGGCGGAATCATTCGGGAACTGAACCAAGTCAGTAAACGCATATGACTTAGGTTGGACTATAGGCACAGGCACGCAGGAGGTGTTTGGGAGTGTCTGTTGAAAATCACAGTCCCTGTTCTCCTGAGCCCAGAGCGTCCGAATTCAGAACGGTAAGAGGTGAAGACCGACTTCAACACAAAAAGGAGGAGAAAACCCGATTTGCATGATATTTCCGAATCTGTCTTTGAGACCTAATGGGGTCACGCCATATAAATTGCGTCGAGAGTCATTATGTGAAGTTTGAATTCAAATAACTCATGGAGTTTCGCAAAAAAATCCAGTGTGTGTTCAGTGCTACATAGGTTTTTATGACGCGCTGTATAGAAACGTCAGCACGAGCAGCAATCCATACCTTGAAAGTGATCTTCTCCTCACTGGAGACCGAAACCTTCTTGGTGGTGATTGCTCGCGTCTTCTTCGAGGCGCTCGCTCACGAGATGGGGATCGACTTGATTCAGAATGTGACTTACTGGAAAAGTAAACAGAAATTTCCAGTATTTATACAGCAAAAGTGTAAATGTAAACAAATGAAAATAAAACAAATGTAGATAACGAACAAATAAATGTAAACCAAAACAGTTAAATCTAATGGAAAGGATAGTACCTTCGCCTTCTATGTTTTTGGCCTCTCCTTGGAGAACGAGACGACGACCTGTTGGGAGGGCTCCGAGACCTCGATCTGAATACGGTTTCTAAGCCCCCTGTGAAAAAGGAGCTCACAGTCAATGATCATTCGTAATACTAGAAGAAGTTACCTGGCACGAATTTCTCCACGTCGTCGTCTAGGGGGAGGGGAACATGAGCTGAGCGATCTGCTTCGTGACCTGAATACCCTAACCTCTACGATATGTTCGTATTAGTCTGTTCTTAGTTCTGAGAAACCATAGGGAGCGAACAGTATGAGGACGTCCAATAACTCAATTAAATGGATTTGCTTCTGGACCTGGATCACGACGCGAATCTTTGAGCGGATTAAAATTTAATAGAAATTGTGTTAATTGGGGAATGACGTGGAGCTACTTCCCTCAATTACGGGATCTTCACAAGAAATTTCACTCATCTGGAATCAGTAGAGCGGTGTCCCAGAAAAAACAGGGTTTTTTCAGTTTCGTTAACGGCCACATTAACTGCTTTTGTCATTCGTTTTGCGGAAATACGCAGCCGGTCATAACGATTACTTCCGTACTGTTATCACTCCAGATAACTTTAAACTCGGAATGCGCCGTGAAGTTATCATCCTGCATAGAATTGCAGTCAAAAGTAGACTCAGCCTTTTTAACTGGGTGGTCGGTGGATGGACACTCAAATCTTTCGCATGACTAGCTCAGCAGAGCGTATGAAGAGGGAAGGGAAAACATAACATAACGCAACAGTTGCGAAAGCTTTTCACTGATTTGAAATAGATTCTCGATTAACAGGCAAAAATTCATCGCTAGCAGTAAGAAAGAAGACCCGAAAGATATTTACGCACTGATTACAAAGAAAGACAAAATTCAAGGACTCTTGTGAATCCATCAGACAATAATAACTTACCGTTTTCGATAGCGGAAGGGAGGACTCCTGCTATTGCTCCTAGAGCGCTTATCACTCCCATCTGAAGAGGTGCTCGATTCCGCAACACTTGAAGGCATCTGAATGAAAGATGGCAGAAACGGAATCTGTGATTTCATTTTTCATCTCGGTAGAGCAGATATCCAATAGGAAATAAACAGGCAGGCACGGTAAACAAATCAAACGGTCGAAACATCACAAAAACCTAATTAGAAATCGAATACTTGGCACCATTGAAACGCCATGAACTGTCAAAGTCTCATAGTGAGAAAAACAAAGCTATACTTCGAAATCTTTACCTCGTATATTGAGAAAATTTTCATAAACTAGATGAAGACGCTATTTGTAAATACGGGAGCCGGTCGGTTGGCGCGATGGGCGGAGTCGCCCCGCCTCAAATGGGCCTCAGAAGGAGCGCGCACATCTCAGATCGCGTAATCTTCTGCTCTCCTCTCCTCTATAGATGATCGAATGGGCTT